GAGACTGAGGCCCAGAGAGGGAACAGCCAAGAGTTGGGGCCCGGTAGCTGCTGACTACAGCCACAGGAGGAGGGAGATGCAGAGCCTCACACGACCCAGACTCACACAAATGCTCCAAGACCAAGAGATTAAAAAATATCCTCAGACATGTCTGGACACCAGACCCACAGAGCCACAGGTCCAGGACTCCTGCCCTCAAACCACAGACATGCGTGTCTGGCCAAGGGAAAGGAAAGACACAGTAAGACCCCCCCAAGACCGAACCATGAAGCCAACCACAGATACACAAGCCCTGAAATATGCAATTCAGACACACATAGATTTGCAGATCGCGAGAGGCAATTACGGACATCCACGCACTGCACCCTGGGAGCCCCCTGAGTCCTGTCATGAGCCTCACTCACTCTATTCCAGCTCTGAGCCAGGACCCCAGAAGGGCATCTAACCCAAGCACTGCCCTGGAGGCTCCACTTCTGAGAACAGGGAGGTGATCACAGCTCAGCGTGACAGTGAACCAAGCCTGCCGCAGGGCACCGGCACACATGCTCCCCAGCCTCAGCCAGATAGCACCAGCCAGAAAGTGAGCCCCCTCGCCTGTCTGCCAAGCCTTCTCTCCCTGTTCACCCATCACCATTGCACACCCCTCCAGACCCCGTCCAGGGCTGGGTGCTGGGAAAGCAGCAATGATCAAGGCAGCCCTGGGATCCATCCCCACTGGGTTCAGAGTCTGGGGGGAGAGGGAGGTCCACTCCAGACCATGAGCTCACAGGACTGGGATGGGGGGGCCCCAGTTGGGGTATGGGAGCACAAAGTAGGTGCCTGACCCGGCCTGGGGGGTCAGGGAGGCACCAATACTGGGATCTGAAGCCTGCACAGGAGTGTGTCGCAGCCCCTAGGGAGTTGCCTGCCCAGTAGACCCCGGGGCTGAGAGAAGGGTCATTCATCCAGTGATTTGCTCAGTCTTGACCCTAGGCCACACCCTGCCCTGATTCAGCTGCGTGACCCATGTGGACTCCTGCTCTCCGAAGAGGCCCAGGCTGGTGGGAGCAACGGTGGAGAAGGCAAAGCTGAGGAGTCCGAGGGTGCCCAGTGAAGGTTGGCAGTAACGTGTGTTATGGTTTGGAGGTGAGGTGTCCCCTGATAGCTCGTGAGTGAGTGAGCCAATGAGAGAAGGCTCAGGGGGAAATCGTTGGGTTGTGAGAGCTTTAACCCAATCAGTGAATTGATCCCCTGATGAGAATGAATGGGTGTTCACTGGAGGCAGGTGGGGTGTGGCTGGGGGAGGTGGGGCATTGGGGGCGTGGCTCTGGGGTGTATATTTGTATCTGGAGCGTGGAGTCTCTCTCTGCTTCCTAATCACCTGGTGAACTGCTTCCCTCTGCCACGCTCTTCCACCACGGCGCCTCACCTCGAGCCCCACGGAATGGAGCCCGTTGCCTAGGGACTGAGACCTCTGACACTGCGAGCCCTCAAATAAATTTTCCTTCTTCTACAGTCGTTCTGTTCCAGGGCTTTAGTCCCAGCAGCAAAAAAAAGCTGACTAAAACAACGTGGCACGGCTTTAAAGCACATCAGGGGCAGTGATCCATGTCACTGGGGGGTAGAATTCTTTTCTTCTGACTGTCATCCCCAGACAGACAACCCCGAGCTGGGGCTGGGGGCACAGCTCAGTGACAGAGCATGTGCTTAGCAGGTGTGAGGCCCTGGGTGGGGTCCCCAGTGCTGCTAAACAAAAGAGCCCAGGGGCCGAGACTTCTGAAAGCAGTAACTTTCTAGATATGTTCCTTATTAAAAATGATGATGTCCAGGGTTGGGTGTGCAGATGTATAAATGTGTACAGACGAGAGTCACACATTCCCTTCTTCCACAGGTTTCACACATCACTAAATCCAAGGTGCTCGCCAGACACCTTCTTCTTGGTGCCACTAACAAAGATCTCACCCATAGAACGATGCCACGAAATTTCCTTACTGTTTAAATTTTTAATTTCCTAGTTACTGGAGAGCTCCTGGTCAACTTATTTAGGAAACCCAGATCCTCAGCACACATCGGTTGGGGGTACATGTAACACAACAGCCACGTCTCATTCTTTGGAGTCACTTTGCCTCTGAGTCATTGACTTCCACACTGCTCAGCCTCCTCACCTCAGAAGCCCAGATGATGCTACTCCATTGTCACATCCAGGCAGTGACAGCCACGTCACAATGGCTTCCTGGCTGACAGTGATGACAGCACCATCATCGGTTACACTTCCTGATTTCAGAATGGTTACGATTAAAAAAGGAAAAATAAAAAAGTGCATCTTAGAATCAACAAAAGGTGTTTCCTGAGTGTTCACTTTGTGTCCGGCCAGGGTGGGGACCCGGAGTGGCCATGCCCCACCAGGAGGAAGTCAAGGCAACATACACTTGCCAAGGACCCCGTTGGTTGATGTTCGGGACCCATTGGTGACTGTGACAGCCCTGACCCTGTACCCACAGGACTCAGAGTCCAGGGGTTCCCAGACAGTGACATCGTGCCTGGTTAAGGTGGGAATGGATTACCCAGGTGTGTGGGAGCCAGGGGGTTATCTGATCCTGTGTAGCAGGCCTGTGGGAGAAGGCCTATGGGAGAAAATTCACCTGTCCAGCTTAGCCAGCCACCCACAGACTTGTGAGACAGAAGCCAGAAATGAAGGAGGGGACCCTTCTGCATTCAGTACTGCAGTGTGATCAGAGCTGGGTCAAAGACTGAGCTTTGAATGCAAATTTTAAGAGGGTGCCAAGATT